TCTGGGGTAGAGGCGGACCAACCGCCCAACAACAGATATAGCTGGGTGTCGTCTGCGTATTGATGACACCCTTGCTTATGCCTCCGGGCAATCTGGGCAAGGGGGCGCATGTAGATGTTAAATAACATTGGGGATAGCACCGCCCCTTGAGGAACCCCGCAAAACAGCGGGTACCCCTGGGACGTCTGTTCTCCTAACGCCACCCTCTGTCCCCGACCTTGGAGGAAGGAGACGAGCCATTGCAAGGCAAGCCCCTGGATTCCAGTGTTGGTGAGGCGGTGGATCAGTAACTGATGGTCGACCGTGTCAAACACCGCCAACAGGTCCCGCCATACCGCCTCAATCCAGATGCCTCCGGAGGTCGTCTGTGAGGGCGACCAGTGCCGTCTCCATCCCATGGCCTGGCTGGAAGCCAGACTGAAATGGGTCTAGCATAGAAGCGTCATCCATAAAGCTCTGCAACTGAATCGCTGCAGCTCTCTCAAGAAATTTGCCCAAATAGGGCAAATTGGAGACTGGCCAATAGTTGGCCAATTCGGCCGGGTCCAAAGATGGTTTTTTCAAGAGGGCGGATCATCACTTCCTTGAGTGCCCCCGGGAACAGTCCCTCCGCTTACCTCAAATAACAGATTTGGAGGGTCCATTAGTAGGGTTGCCAACTTCCAGGTGGTACCTGGAGATCTCCCACTATTACAACTGATCTCCAGGCAATCAAGATCAGCTCCCCTGGAAAAAATGGCTGCCCTGGAGGGTGGACTCTATGGCATTATACTCTGCTGAGGTCCCTCCCCAGGCTCCACCCCCAAAGTCTCCAGATATTTTCCAACCCAGAGGTGGCAACCGTATCCATTAAGGGCTAAATAAGCCCTGGCTTTAGCATTTACCCCTCCTTTCCCGCAGGTGTGGCCAGCCAGCATATTGTCAGCCAATATGTTTTTACCCTCACAGAAAGCACTTTTGAGGCTCTCAGCTTCAAGCACTGAAAATATTTTGCCCCATCGTATCCGAATGGAAAAAATAAGGTTTTGTGGGCTGTGAACATGCAGTTTCCCCACAATAGATGTACAACCTCATCCCCACAAGAAGCCATGTGGGCTACATGCAACTACTGAATAAATGTATTGCCCACACGCATGTCATAAAGCAGATAATCTGAGTATTCTACTCTAACCCTCCATCTGGGGACCTTTCCAGAAGTTGGCCAGCATTTTTACTGTAGCTACATCCAGTTTTCTACTGCAAAGTAATTCTTGCTGCTTGTTTTCATGATGTAACAAGAAGGAATATAATCAATAAATATCAGAGTTGGGTCTCAGGAATGTCTCTGCTTCCTTCCAAGATGGAAGATGCGAGAGACAAGCTAGACTTTAACTTCAGAAGAGCTGGAATGCTGAGTGTGTTGCTTAAAAGGGTAGAAGAGGACCATTGAGAGGGCCTGTGATGGTTTAGCTCAGTGAGCTCACTGAAGAGGAAGAACAAAGAAGCCAGAACCTATGTGGGGTAATAGTGTCAGACTGGTGAGAACTGAGTTCTAATCCAACTAAGTTTGCTGAGAGACCTTGGTCCCATTCATTCTCTCTTCATTCAGGCCACCTCACAGGATTGTTGTGAAGCTAAAATGGAGAAAGCGGAGGATTTGATGTATGCTGCCTTCAAAGGGGATAGAATTGGGTATACTGAGGCCAGCTAAATAAGCCCTGGTTTTAGCATTTACCCCTCCTTTCCCGCAGGTGTGGCCAGGGGCATTAGACGTTGGTGCTAGCTGAAAAGCTCTTGGCTCCCAGCCTGTTGCTGTGTGTGCTGGTCTGACCTCTCCCAGCCTAGGACATCCCTGTGGCTTATTACCCTCTTGTTGTGCCTGTTGTTGTAAACGGAATTCTTGTACTTATTTCATTTTGAAAAGCACTTTGTCCCCCATCCCATGTGTGGGAGAAAAGGATGATAAAGTATTCTAAAATAAATGAGGATGGGATAAAAATGTGATCTATTTGGAAGGCCCACCTCAAGGACCTCGGAGAGAAAGGACAGTGGCGTTCTTTAGCATACTTATTCTCAGAGCCTAGAAGGATAGTTGGCCAGATCAACCCTTGGGAAGCACAGGTCTGTAGGAAACTACAGGGTGCGCCAGCTGGCAGGAAGCTTGAAAAAGCCACTGAGAACATTGTGCATTGCTATGCAAGCATCCTCAGGGCTGGATTTTGACCCTTCCACACCTTAAACAGGACTTTGTCATGGTTCATTTGAAACCAACAACCAGACCTTTCACATTCGTTTTTACTACCGTGTTTCCCCGAAAATAAGACACTGTCTTATATTTATTTTTTCTCAAGAAGACACACTAGAGCTTATACCACAAATGCATAGAAATCCTGCTAGGGCTTATTTTTGGGGTAGGTTTTATTTTCGGGAAAACAGGGTATGTAATGTTTCTGTGACTTTTGAGGCCTTCTTACCAGTGGCTTATACTGGCTACTTGATTACCCTTTTAATCGCCACTAAACAAAGAACAATACCTGCCTACCTGCCACTGACTGCTTCACCTCAGCTTGACCAAATGGTACCAAGGATCACTGAAACATAAGTGGGTAGGAATGCTCCTTGTGTTGTGAGGCCACCAAACCACAGCTCACCTTGATAGTAATCCACCCCCTTTTAGAAGTTGTCCAGCTATTTTGCAGGTGATTCTTCCTGCTTATCAATTTAAAAAACACACACACAAAAAACCCTGGATTCAACTTCCTTCACTGTATGAGTATTTTCTGTGTCAATGCAAGGTTCATGAGAGGTTAAAACCAAATGCTGAAAGGTGGGCCCCCAAAATCTGCCTCCTGCACCTTAAAAAGAGAAACCCAGTTCACACTGGCAAAAGCTATACCAGCATTTCACACTGCAAACATCATAAAAAGTGACTGGAGAACACGTTCTTACATGCATGGTATATACCCACTTGGGACCTGTAGTCTAAGAGGTCCCCGATACACATACACAGGTTTTCAGGAACACAGCCTATTATTCACGTAATGTGTCATTTCTGTGGGAAACACTGGAGTAAATACAGTAAACACGATTGCCACACAAAAATGAGAAACTGCCTTCTGCTTGTTCTCAAATCAGATCAAGCTTGATAAGGCAAGGCCTTCTGTCAGTGTAAATTGTCATTGATCGTGATAGGACAGAAGCAGAGAATGTCTCCACCACCCATTCTTGGTTTAAATTCCATGCATTCTTCAGGTACTCCATTTGAGATCTGGACCCTAAATTTAAAACAACAAACCAAATCATTGCCTTCATCTGCCTTGCTCTTCTCTGCTGCTGTTTAAGGAAGTTCCTGAAGCCACATGTTTCTCTGAGCCAATCAAGAGCAGCAGCTCATGCATTCCAGAACATGCACAAGAAGTAACCAAACCTCACCTTGTAGATGGAGATTGTAGATCTGTAGGATTGCTCCATGCCCTCCAGCTTGGATGATTCAAGGGTCCCTTTCTCCAGGAAAGGGTATGTTGAAGAGATGTTGATGTCCCCCCAGGAAACAAAAAAACCCCTCCACTTATGAATCCAGTTCCACAAATCTAGTTGGGACAAGAGCCTCCTTTGCTGCACTACAGCACACAGCAAAGATGCCTATCCACTTGGAAGGGAAGAAAATGCTACTTGGGGTTTAATAATTCACTAGGCAGGTGTGTGTTAGAACTTGATCCTTAAGTGCCATCAGATACCAGACAGGGAGGAATCCTGTGACAGCCATGAAGGTCATGTGACTTTCACTTTCAATTATTTATCACCAGTTTCTATATACAGCTCCCTGTGTAGCTCTGCAAGATTATTAAACTAAGTTGTCTTCTTGACCACAACCAATCACATTAGGATTTGCTGTGGCTCACAGCCTGCCCTTGACTTGGAGAACACAGGAAGCCCTGGGAACAACCACATCACATCAGCCTTGCTTTGTTCGCTAATGGACACAGATGTTCTGATCTCTTTGATACGGTTCTAGAACCAAGGTGAACATGGATTCTAAATAAGCTGCTTCAGAGATGGAAACAAGACACAATTTCCCACCTCTTATGACTGGATTCTAGGGCTAACATTTAATTTTACCAAATGTCACATATCACATTTACTTGAATATGCAGACAAATTCCTGTGACAGAAGCAGCAGGTTAAAATGGTAGCCCAATATTCATGATTGCCCAATTCACACATGACATATAACCGTGCCAAAATGTACATCCAGGAAAAGCCCAAACTTCTCACATGGAGAATTAGCGATGCATTCTTAAACCTATTGACTCTGACGGGGCTTAAGCACACGACATCTCTACTGGATTAGGGCCTCTCTGTGTGCCAACTCTTAGTCAACACAATCTAAGGCAGTGAGTAGCTTTTTCCACTGGAAAAAACCAGTTTTGCATAACCACCATGTATAGATGTATTGAGTCCTGTATTTAATCTGATGCATCAAGCACTGAAGGTCAAAGACCAATGTCAAGACCAGTGCTGGAACCTCAGTGGGGATATCTGATTCCGGGTGTCCAAACACTTTAACGTGTGTGATTCTCCCATATCACACCATGGTTCTTATCCTGAATACTTACCTGTCACTTATCTAACTGAATGGCTGCTGTACTGTGAATATCTACAGGTATTCACAGTACAGCAGCATACAGTGGTGTTGTCAGCTATAAGAGTGATATTCTATTTAAAGGACCAGATTCTTCCTGCTAGCTTAAATCAAGAGAAAAAAATGCCTGTCTTTGCCAGATACAAAGACCAAACTGATTCCATGTTGAACTTAATGCAGACATGGTGTGGGACTAGAAGACCAGTGGGCTTGACACAGCACAGCTGTTCTCATGTCCTTTCAGGGAGATGCTTATTCTGCTCCCTAGCAAGGGTCTGCACCTTCCCTGGGAGTTCCGTCTCTCACACTCGGAGAGTTATTAAGCTTGAGCAGAGTCAGGTTCCATGTAAAGTTCCATTTATTTAATAGTTTTGTGGAGATATCCTTGGTCACCACACCTGGACAGTTATTTTCAATTGCAGTAAACAAGGTGATGTTTACAAAAATAATACAGAAAAAAGCCGTCTGTTTGATTTCACATTCATCAGGATATTTTCCCAAGAGTTTCAATAAATTACATTAAATTAGTCAGAATGCACAAAAAAAATAACAGCAGCACTTCAATTCCTGTCACTGAGAGAAGAAAAAAGGGAAAGGGGAGGAGGAACCAACCTAAAAAGAAATGAATGTACTACAATGCAGAGGGGGAAAGACACTGAAATTAATATTTGACCACTTGTAGTCTGCCAGCAGGAGGTCCCCTCACTGATGTGGTTGAATTTTTGTACTGTAACCAAATCTACACTGTTCACCCTTATCAGGAGACTCCAGTGAAGGTGGGAGCGGGGAAAGATTTTCCCACCTCTGCCAGTGACCAAATACCACCAGAGGATGTTCTACCTACCAAGAAATCCATGTAATATACTCTATCCTGCTTTCCTCAATTTTTTTCAAATTATACTAGTAGCCCCTTTCAGGAGGTAGGAGGAGCCAAAGACTAAGAAGGGGAATCTGAAATAACAGGGAACGATGAGAGGAGAGCTTCGGACTACTAGTGACCAAAGGAACCCATCTTTCCCAATACCAAGCAGGAGGAATGTAACGTTTAGCTGAAAACATATTGCAGGCAGGTAGCTCTCTCCTCTTACAGATTCTGTGGGATAACAATTCTACCTTCCTTCACAGCAGAAATTGAGAATCCAGTGGACACCCATAGAGAAATGAGCAACTAAAACTCTCTTAACCTATCTCATATAATTTTTTGACAAAAAGGCGCAATACATAAAATCCAAAGTGTCAGATAATGCCCTGTCTGAGGAAGGTAGGGGCAGGTGATCTGTCTCTGATCAGCTATCTCTGTTATCACACAAGCAAAGTGAAATACAAGAAACGCCTTTCAGTTGTATGCTAGACTTCAGTTATACGGGAGTCTGGCATACAGGAAGAGAGCAGCCACTGCTGCCACGCATGGATTACAGGAGCTACCAAACATGTCAGTTAGTGGAATCCCCAAATTCTTCGAGTCCATTTCTTCTGGTGGTAAGGAGGAAGGGTAAGCCACAGGCCAGCAAAGTCTACTGCTTCTGGTTGGTCATCTAAATCCCCTCTGTCGAGACGCAGCGCTGGCACCACCAAGTCTTGCAAAACGTCAGGGAATTAGGAACTGTCCTACTAACTGCTTGATTTCATCCCAGTGTTGGTAAATGTAGAGCTGAGTCTCCCACAGCAGGTTCACCAGGATAGTGTCACTCACCTCATCCAGCATTACGTCGGTTTCTAACTGGGGGTTGAACCTGTTGACACACCGTGAAGGAATTACTGAATGGAAATTTTGTACATATGTAAAGATCAGGGAAATTAGGACAAGAAGGCAGACAAAGAAAAACAGCCTCTTGAGACAGAAGGGTGCAGGAGACAGTAAAAACACAGAGAAAACCAAATACACATAGAAGTACTCTGTGGTGCAACAGATAGCGCACTGAAGTGGGACGGTGGGTAACTCGGGTCCAGATCCCTATTGAGTCACGAAATGTTTATATTTATTTATATCCTGATTTGATCCTCAATGGGGACCCAAAGCAGTTGCAACATCATTTTCACCACCGTCACTTTATCCTTATGACAACCACTCTGGGAGGTAGGTTAGGCAGAGAGAATAACTGGCTCAAGGTCACCCGGCGAGCATCTATGGCAGGGTGTTTCCCTCGAACCTGAGTCTCCCAGATCTTAGTTCAATACGTTAACCATTTCACCACACATCTAAAGGGCAGGGGAACATTCAGAAGGCCAAACCCTGGCGCCTCATTCCTTGTGCCATCATGGCAATTTCACAGACGTTACTGGTGCTGCTGCCTAAAGGTTCCTATCTGCTGTTCTTGGGCACTGCAGATATAGCAGGCTAGAAGCAGGTACTACAACTTGCGATAGGACAAGCCCAGGCTAACTTAGCAGTTTATCAGGACATACACAAAAGGGGTTTTCACTTTGTCTTTGGGGGCAACCTAGTTACCGTGGCTCTTCTCGGGAAAGAATCAGTAGCTACCTATCCCAGGCCATCTGTTCTCAGGCACGGCCTCACCCTGTCCTGCAGACAGCCTATTCAGTTACCAGTCATTACTGCTAGGTTGGAGGAGGGGCTGTGGCTCAGTGGGGGAACATCTGTGTGGCATGAAGAAGGTCCCAGGTTCAATCCCCAGCATCACCAGTCAGTGTTAGGCATTGTGAAAGACCTCAACTTAAGACCCTGGAGAGCCGCTGTCAGTCTGAGTAGACAACACTGACCTTGAGAGCCCAAGGATATGATTCACTAGAAGGCAGCTTCATGAGTTCATGCGTGTGTTCACTGACTGCTGCTGTCCAGATTTCTCAATGGCAACATCACCCTGCTGCTTAGCCAGTGCATAATCTTGAGCCAATCAGGTTCTTTCAGTCTAACTTACTTCACAGTACTGTCTTGTACAGAAGGCTTATACAGCACTCCGAAACCCTACGAATAAAACTCCAAAACATCCAACCTTGCTCAGGCCTTGCAAATGGAAAGCCATGGCTTTTTTGACTGAGTCCATCCATCTCACGTTGGGCCTTGCTCTTTTCCTGTTGCCTTCCGATTTTCCTAGCATTGTTGCCTTTTCCAGTGAGTCTTGTTTTCTCATAATGTGATCAAAGCATGACAGCTTCAGTTTAGTCATTTGAACCTCTAGGGAGAGTTCAGGCTTCACTGGATCTAGAACCCACTAACATGTCTTTCTGGCGGTCCACGGTATCTGTAATACTCTCCTCCAACACCACATTTCAAATGAATCAACCTTCTTTCTGTCAGCTTTCTTCATTGTCCAACTTACACACCCATACATAGCAATGGGAAATGCTCTGGAAATTATTAATACTCTGTGGCAAGACAGCCAGAAGTACTATCATTCTAGACTGCTGGAAGGCTCAGTCTTTAACTAGGGGACAGTTTTGTTGTTGTTCAGTCGCACAGTCGAGTCCGACTCTTTGCGACCCCATGAACCACATCACGCCAGGCCTTCCTGTCTTCCGTCGTGCTCCGGAGTTTGCTTAACTTCATGTCCGTTGCCTCGATAACACTGTCCTTTGCCGTCCCCTTCTTCTTTGACCTTCAATCTTTCCCAGCATCAGGGTCTTCTCCAGTGAGTGCTCCCTTCTCATTTGGTGGCCCAAGTATTTGAGCTTCAGTTTCATTATCTGGCCTTCCAGGGAACAGTCAGGGTTGATTTCTTTTAGGATTGACTGATTTGATCTTCTTGCAGTCCAAGGGACTCTCAAGAGTCTTCTCCAGCACCAAGTGTGATCCACTGGAGAAGGAAATGGCAACCCACTCCAGTATCTTTGCCAAGAAAACCCCATGGACAGTATCAAAAAAGGGGACAGCTACAGGAATGCTAGAGCCACAGATTAATGATCTCAGTTCAGCAAAGGCTACAGAGACACGTGCTCTGAAAGGCAGAGATTCAAAGCTCAAGCACTATTCCTGCTGACCCCCGCAAGGCATCAACTTGTATAAATCACATACCTGAAATAACGGGCCTCTATCATCTCGCTCCAGGCTTTTGAATGATCCACCACTGGGCCATCTGAATCAGTGCACTGTGAAGAAACACTGCTATAATAATTAAATGACCTCTTTGCATCCATCCTACAAATCACATTTTCAGCAAGGAACCAAATCATTGTAAAAATATGACAACAATGTGTCTTGGAACGGCTAAGTTTCCACTGACCAATACTTTGGACTTTGCCACAGAACACAAAAACAACATGCAGCTTTCCTTCACTGGAATTCTCATTGAGTTTTCAGAGCCTCCGTTACACTGAATTAATGAGTCATCTTTAATGACTATGAATTGCAACTGGCTAATTAGATCTGAGAATGCATCAATGCCATTTAGAGCCTGGTAATTCCACTTGAGCCAATTTCACTACTGGCAGCAGACAAGGAAAGGGGAACTGGGGCAACCCAACAGTAATTTAAAATGCACCCTTGTCGTTCAACAGTGATGATGACCCTCTGCTTCCCAGCTGCTAGTAGCCTTAACTGTACAGAGAAGGTACCTACAGGCAGGGACCACGAACTGCCACGACCCCCCCCCCCAACAGACTGAAGAGAACAGTGTCACTGCAAACCTAAACTGAGTTACATTCTTCTAAACCCACTGACTTCAATAGACTTAGAAGTGTGTAACAGTGTTTAGGACTGCACTGCATATTTGACATGGAGAAATGAGCATCCTGAGAATTTTCCATTTTAAAAATAGTAAATTTCTAGTATTCGAGGATGAAGACAGGCTTGAAAGTGTGTGAGCAGCACCACCTGGTGAAACTGCAGAAGCTACAAAGGCAGGGTATACATGGCATTTGCATTTTTCTAAAGCATCGGTGGGAAGAAGGGATTAGGCTGATTAAATATTTGCAAATAAATTAGAAAAATTTTTTTTTAAAAAAGATTCCACCACTTTTGCATCCAACTGATATTTAAAGAATGTTTTGTAAACATTCTTTTTAGTTCACTTATTACATCAGCTAAGCAAGACTTTGAACAAACATTTAGACTACTAAGCAGATAAGATATTTCCAATATATGCAGAGTTGGAAGCTTTAGTTTTACTAGCGAAGAAGTCAGAAAAAGTTTAGTAAAGCAAAAGGAATCACAACTCCCTGGGAGGGAGGGACTTTCCAGAGAATCATATAAAACTTTTATGAATGTGCCATTAGATCCCCTGACAGCTATAATTACCCTAGTTATGACTAAGGGCAAAAACCTTTCCATATCTTGAAGCAGTGGCAAAAGCGGTATTAATTCTGAGGGTGAAGAGCAAGCAAGGGCAGAATGCCGTCATCCAATTTCTGTACTAAACCAAGTGCCTAAGTTTTAGGAAACTATTCTTGCTATGAGATTAAATTAAATAAAATAAGCAACCTTTATTAGCTAGGACCAGACGTGTTGTGTTAGAAGCGATACAAGTGAATGAACCCTTGAAAGTATGGCCAGTGTTGTACCCATGACAACACTCAAGCAGGATATTTATTGAAGTCTGCTAAGCAGTGCCCTTTTGCCATTTACGTGGGCCAAACTGTCTCTATGCAAAGGAACAGAGACATAAAATTAGACATTAAAAATGACTTGGCCAAGAGAAAAGCAGGCTTATCAGTATTTCAAATCAATAAAAAGTAGCACACAGAAACCACTAAGGGATCCTTTCATTAACATGAATATTATGGGAACAGATTTGGGAGTTGCCTTACTTCAACAAAAGTTTCAAGGAAAACTCCAGCCTGAAGATAAAAAGTAGGTTGGTTGTTGGATATGAAGAAGAGAAGGAAGCAAGGAAAGGTGAGGATATGGGGGATGCTAGGAGGAGGGAAAGTTTTTTTTATAAAGAGGGAAAGGGATACAGGGGAAAGTGAATTGCCCCCCATAAGTCCTTGAGGGTTCCCACTGCCCAACTGGGCCCAGCCTAATAGCTGGCACAGCATGAACTGGGCCTGGCCCACACCAGTAGATGGCACCGCACAACAGAGTTTTCCCAGGGAAAGACTGCCAGTGAGAAAAAAGTATGGAAAGCTGAAGACAGAGGAACAGATAAAGTTAGGTTGGGTGGGAAGGAGAGAAGGAAGCAGGAAAAGGAGGGTGGCTATGGGGGCTTTTGTGGAAGGAACAGATAAAATACTGGTGGAGGTGAAAATGTGATACCCCCAGCAAGTCCCTCTGAGTCCCTCACTTGTCTGCTCATAAATTTCAACATTCAAAGAGAGCACCTAGAAAGGTTCTGAGTAACCCATTCATACACACCATTGCCATCTTGTTCACCACTGTTTTACAGACTGTGGCCCTAGTCCGGTCCTCACCACGCTCCCATGCATTTCAATAGCAGACGGCTCTCCGCTCTTTTGAGGTTTTGGCAGGGTTTATACTGCCTCTCACAGCCATTCAAATACTACATGCTCATTTCTGGCCCATGCACATTAGAAAGCTTCAATTGCCAAAGAATTTAATTCTGCAGAGGGAATGCTTCAAACCCAGCATTCTGACAACTCAAATAGCACTGACTTCCTTCATCAAAGGTGAACTTGCAGCAACATGGACTCTCCATAGTTTGAATGCACAATCAGTTTTAAAAGTTTACAGCAAAAGGATTAACATTAGCAGAGACATGTGGTGATTGTTAACACATGGGGGGGAGATGAGGCCCATTCAGTATTTGATGGGATTCTCCATATAAGGGGCGCTCTCATATCTTATATTCTAAAACAAGTTTTTCCAGATCTCTTTGTAGGCTTGCCGTTTGTCCGCCAGTGATGGGTGAACCCCTACCCTGGACCTCTGTATAGAAATATTGATTTCTAAAAGCCCCTGCCTTCCCCTGGGTTGTCTTGCTAATAACCTGCTGTGTTGTATTTCCTGTTGAAGCCATATGGCCTGCACATTTGGCCGAAACTTTATAGACCTGCCATATAACCACACATTCTTCACACTTCCATGCTGAAAGCTAGGCCAGCATGCCAGGAGCTCACATAGCCGATGGAGAAGCTGGAGTTGGGGGCCATGTGACTGCAGGCGTGGTTTCCAAACTTCCAGCCTATCCCCAGTTGTACCCATGACAACCAACAAATTGGACACACCCGTCCTACTCGCAATTGGCTGATGGCCACAGCTGATTGTGACTGAAATGGGCCTATAACTGGTCATTCCCAATGGGAGAGAGCTTTCTCTCTCTCTCTCTCTCTCTCTCTCTCTCTCTCTCTGCTCTTGTGTTCTTGCTCTCTGTTCCTGCTAGTGAGCTCTGCTTGTTTATTGCACCTGGACTTGTGGTCCCTGGGAGAACAAAGACTTGCTTTGCGACTTGAGCACATGGAGTGCAATGATGGGATTCCTCTTAAAAATCCCTTGGTGCTACTGGATTATCACAATGGACTGTTCTGGATTGATGAATGTTCCTGACATGGTAAATATTAAGTATTAATGTTCACTTAAGGCAAACAGCCCTAGCCTTTCTTGTTTTGAAATCTTTATAGTCTACTTGCAATGCTCTGAACTGAATAAACTTGTCTTTGATGTTGTAACTGGGATTCCAAGTCTATTTCCTGTGCCTACCTGGCCACACGCTACCATTGAGCATTAAGTGTACATCTCTGGGAATGAGGTGCTAATGTGTTAAGCCCTAGATGCCAGCTGAGAGATCTGAGTCTCTGCTCTGAGTTGGAGGGGATTATAGAATACTGAGAGATTCTGGTGGCTTATTGTTTTGACTCCAGAGAGGGTAGCCTACCTCTGTGGGTTGTTGTTTAGTGTACTGTAAAAGTATAGGATTCCCTCTCATTTCTGGACAGGCTTGAGGGGCAGAATCCTATACAACCCCAATCCCCCACCTTCAAAAAACTGAAGAACATGAGGAAAAACAGCTAGTAAATGGCCTTTACATCAACACTGCAAAGATTTCTCCACATCTCTATGTTCTTTAGCAGGGGTCCCCAATATGGCACCCACTGACACCTTTCCTGCTGCCTTCCAAGTGTTTTTAGAAAGTAGGCATTGGCCATATCGGGCGTTTGCCCAGCAGGACTTTAAAGAGTTGCTTCGACCAAAGCTGTCACCACAGCACAATTTTGAGAGGCGTCCTGTGAAATGTTTTAGAGTTCCTGCTGGGAATGTTGAAGAGTTACTATTAGAGTTATGCGTGACCTCACTCCCTAATATTTTGCAGCAATTGGCTTCTCGTCACAGCCATTTTGCAGTTGCACCCACCACCGTAGGTCAGAATTTCAAAGGTGCCCCCTGGCTCAAAAAGGTTGGGGACCCCTAATCTTTACAATAGAGATTAGGGGAAATTCCTATAGTGCTACCAGGAAGCATTGTCGCATACTCCACCCTCAGAATCCTCTGGCATTTGCCAAGGTGGCGCTGGAGAGGGAGAGACAGAGACTGGCTGGCAGTGCTCATTCCTCTTCCCCAGGTCTCAAAACACAGAGCCTCTTGGCCCAACCATTAAGCTCGGCCCTTATTTCTACTGCCTTATGGAGACCACCTCTCACTCTGAGGGCCTTGGCTCTGTTTAAAAGATGACTCTATATATGTCTGCTGAGGAGCTGGAAAGATAATATAGTTTGAACCCCAAACTTCCTTTTGTTTCTAAAATGAAGAAGGCCTCAGTCAACATCAGAATTCCTACATGGTGTCTCCACTTCAATGGTCCATCCCTTTGCCATCCAATACTCACACAGTCCACCACCAGCTTGCCCAGTTCCTTGGCCCCATAGACACTCCTTGCCAGTTCCCAAGGGTTGGAGGGGCGGAAGACATCCACTGAGCTCACGGGAACCTGTGGAGCCCTTCCTGTTCCAAGAGAGACTACCACGCCCAACTTCTTCACCTCGTTTCTTTTACCCTGGAAGGATGGAGAATTATACCTTGGTTAGCATTAGTGAACCCATTCTTCATACCCAGAAAGGGGGGGGGGGATGAAGTTCATTTGCTGCATCAGTTCCAGAGTCCCTGGAGCATTATTATTTCACGAACAGGTTTGACAGAGTAAGCCAGCCCTTCCAACCGCATTTCACAAATTAATGTTTAAATCCTGCACCATCACCAAGAAGTCAGAACTAGAAATCTTTCAGTATGGCGTAGAAGGAGGAGGAGGAGGAGATTGGATTTCTACCCCGTCCTTCACTACCCAAGGGAGTCTCAGAGCGGCTTACAAAGTCCTTTCCCTTCCCCTCCCCACAACAGACACCCTGTGAGGTAGTTGAGGCTGAGAGAGTGCTGACAGAAACTGCTCTTTTTCAAGAACAGCTCTTATCAGAACTACGGCTTGCCCAAGGTCATCCAGCCAGGTGCAAGTGGAGAAGTGGGGAATCAAACCCAGTTCTCCCAGATTAGAGTCATCCCACTTAACCACTACACCAAACTGGCTCTCAGGGATCTGGGAGACTCAGGCTCAGAGCTCTGCCACGGAAAGTCACTGGCTGCCCTTGGGTCAGTCTCTCTCTCTCTCTCTCTCTCTTAGCCTAACCTTCCTCACAAGGTGTGAGAATAAAATGGAGGAGAGAAGAACCATGTTGTAAGCTGCGTTGGTTCCCCACTGGGTAGAAAAGCGAGGTATGAACAAGCTTCCAACTGCACTGTCCAGCATGGACTGCAGGCACCGAGTGTGTTATTCTGAAAAGAGGCCAGTACACGATGCCTCAGTTAGAGGTCAGTGTATGAACTGGCTTTTTAGTCTGCTGTAATACAGACAGGCAAGGATTCCTGTGGTACCTCGAAGACCTGCAAATTTATCACGCCACAGGCTGTCAAAGGCCAGAGCCTGCTTTGTCATGCTGCACTAATTGTTAGTCTGTGAATTGTCACTGGACTCTTTTTTTTCCCCCACTAGCAAGTAAATCCCACTGCATGTTGTGGGAATTGCTTCTCAGTAAACAAATTTAAAATTGGGCTCTAAACCACACAACTATAAAGCAATGTTGGATGAAGTGAACGTCGAGAAATGCTTTGACAGAGGCCTCCACACCTTCAGGATTAAAGTCTTGTTGTAGTCATTGATCTCCGTCATGGCAGCCAAAGTAGGGTTGTTGGCCAGCAGCCCTCCGTCCAGAAACCGCCCAATAGGTCGAAAGTATGTCGGAGCTGCTCCACTGGAGCGGGCCGCCTGCCACACCAGCTGATCTGTGAGGGAGAAAGCGGGGGAAAAGAGCAATTTCCTCCCTCTCTTGTGCAGTGTACGTGCAGCTGGGGCAGTCATTACAATTGCTTAGCATTCATATACAGCTCCAGTGCTTCACATAGATTCTGTTTTCCACACAATAATCCTGGTAGTGGGGGGAGGGGGGGAGGAATGTCCACCTCTTCCCCTGCCCTCTGATCCTGGCTGCCATCTCACTCACACTTGCTCCTATGGCCTTAGATCAAGAAGGGAAGGGTTCGTCACCACCCAAGTCCTCCTTTCGCTCAGCCCCCTCCCGCACTGCCTGGAGCAGGCAGTCAGATGCCTCTTCATAGGCCATTTTGATGGCCTTTTTAAGAGCAACCTTTGGTACAGCCTGGGTACCAGATGAAGGAGAGGGAAGCATCTGTTCTCTCCTTCTGTATGGCCCTCCTTTAGTCCCTCAAGTTGCCTTGGTCCCAGGTCCTGGAGGCATGAGCATTTACCTTCTGGTTTGGTCAGTTCCGGGAACAAGGCTGCCGTCTTGTAACGGGACGTGCCTTTAGCCACTGGTGGATTATAATTCCGAAAGAGGTGGAGCTCGGCAGGTTGCCGGTCACATAGAGTGGCTGTCAACATGACCCTGTAAGAGACCAGAGAGATCCCATTTCCCCCATTGCCTAGATGTTGCCCTTGACAGAGCTAAGTGTTCGGGAAGGACACTAAAAGGTAGGGACAAATGGGCCAGGAAGCCACTTCAGATAAATGCTCAGCCAGCACAACTCAAGTTGGAGATCACCTGGGTTTCTTGAAATCTGTCATTTTGGTGTATTCTCCAAACTCCTTCTTCAGGAATTCTTCAAGAGGCTCTGACTCATAGGGACGGGACCCTCGAAACACCTCATCTTTCATGCGGAAATACAAGCAGCGCATGTAGTCCATAGGCTTCCCTGCAGTACAAAAAGGGCATTACCAGGATGGAAGGAAGGCTGACAAGCCAAGCCGAATGGCACATTTGCAACAGCTTCAACAGCACACCTGGCACTTTGCAAACGGGGGCAGAAATCATAGCAGGTGTGCTGCAGGGGTTTAGAGCACTGGACTAAGACCTTGGAGGGGCAGGTTCCAATCCCTGCTCAGACACAGAAGCTTTTGCTGCGTGACCCTGGAGGACCAGCCACTTTCTCTCAGCTTAAACTACCTCACAGGGAGGATAAAATGGCGGAGGAGAGCCTGACGAACTCCTTGGCAGAAGTCCAGGATATAAAATGCATGAACTAAATTACTATTGCCAGTAAAATAAAATACAATTTGGAATGGAAAAGACAGAAGACAGACATTCAGGAAACATAGTCACAGCAACACAAAAAACCTTTATTGGCATGAAGGAAACATAGTCTGTATTGCTGAAAATAACAGGGAGGTTCCCCGTATTAATAATGTCTGAATTTGCTGAAAACATGCAGCAAATGCCCCATAAAAAGAGGACTTGCAGCAGAAATGCCAAAATCCACCTTTTGCTGCAATGCATGAAACAGTCATAAGGGTGACAGAAGATAAGGGATGGACATTGTTAAAGGGGACATGACAGGGAGAGAGTGTAGGAGGACTGAAGCCATGAAGGTAAGAACTTTGCCACTTGTAAAGCGGGATGGAACCCAGTGGAGGTTTCTTTGCCAATGGAAAAGCACCTGCTTGGCATGCAGAAGGTCCCGGGCAATGCTCCCACTAAGCTGTGCAGTCTTGTGAGCAAAAAGTCTACTTTGTGAGCTCCTGGCATTAAAGTTGTGAGCCAGCGATTTGGCTACTGCATACATTAGTTTGCTCTGGAGCCATCCTTCCTGAGCTAAGACAAAAATGTGTGAGTCGGAGGCTAAAAAACTGTGAGCTAGCTCACACTAACTCAGCTTAGAGGGAACACTGGTCCTGGGCGCAATCACTGACATCTCCCATGACAGAGGAAGAGAAGGGCTGCAAAAAGTCCCCTGCCTCCCCTAGAGAGCTCTTGCCTCTCAACGAAGAGGGTCCTGGGCTAGATGGATCAATGACCTGACTTAGTACAGCAGCCTTCATATGGAGGGAAGTGAACAGCGGCTGAATGGGACCGATGAATGGATAAGGTCATTCACAAGATTCAGTGGCAGGACTGAGGGGGAAACTGAGCAAAACACTTTGTACGCGAAAGACTGTATACTGCACAAAACACTGCCAAGAACCCAATTCTGTACTAGGATTGTATTTTTAAAAAATGAAAGAAAAGCAGTTTCTGACCTACATTTGCAGGGTAATGCCTAAAAAACACATAAGCCCCACCTGCCAAAAGCTCAAAAGCCCAAGCAGACCTTGCGTAGGAAGTGGATTAACAGGAGAGGATGGAGCTTCAGCCTCCCCACTCTGCAATGAAGATCAAACTCTGCAAAAATCCAGATTCTGGACATGAGACTGAATGGTGCCTCTGAGAACACACTCACAGCCCTGCTGCTGCCTGGCAACTGGGTAACAACCACAAAAGAAGAAACCTCCTTTACAATCATCCTGCAGAGCAAACTCTTAATTTGCACAAGCTTTTGATTGGCAAGGGACTGTGCCTCAGTGGCAGAGCATCTACGTGGCACGCAGGAGGTCCCAGGTTTAATCCCTGGCATCTCCAGGCAGAAGGATGAAGAGACAGCTGATGTGAAAGACCTCTGCTTGAGACCCTGGAGAACCACTGCCAGGCAGAGTAGACAATACTCCTTGACAGGCTAAGGCAGTTTCATATCCTTTGTGTGTCAGGGAAAACTCATTAAGCAATACTTCTATGACAGCTAACAAGACAGTTAAGAACTCATGGAGACACTTCCCCCACCACCACCACCACCACCAGTGAGCATATGTAGCTCCGGTACTGCTTACCTTGCACAATAGACAGTGCCAGAATTCCCCCTGTGCTAGTCCCAGCTATCCAGTCAAAGAGCTCTCGAATGGGTTGCCCTGCAACTTTCTCTATTGCAATGAGAAACTGGATGAGCACCAGGCCCCGGACACCCCCGCCGTCCAGGCTCAAGAGACGGTCCTGGCTGCAGAATAGAGGGGGGGGGGAAGCATTTAGTGGCAAACACCAGTCACCCAAACTGCTGCTCCTAGCTTCAGATGCCGGTCAAGCAATCAAGCATCAAAACCCATGGGACGCTCCAGGAAAAGTGGCAGGACTCTTTGGGAATGGGCTTTTAACCAGAGGGAAGGAGGAAAGGGGGAGGGGGGATTTTCACTTCTGGAAATATAGCATATACTCTCTGTCAGACTGACCAACAGAGTCTTATCTGTCAGCAGAGAAGAGAGCAGACCACAGAAAGTGATCTTGTTGACCCCGGCACACTTACGTTCTCTTCTCCTCAGTGGCAGAGTCGGTCATGTCTTGTGCTTTTAGCAAGGTATTAAGCGCTGCGGAAATATGTATGACATCCTTAAATCCTAGAAAGACCCAGGAGGAAACAAACATACCAGAACATCTATTTAGTAGCATAGGAAGAAAAAGACATGAAGAACTGGGAGCCTAGGAATTTGCTTCTCCTTTTACTACTGCCGTGGCCAGATTCACTCAAGGCTCTCTTGACTTATGAGAACTGGGAAGTCTCCTGCCAGCCACACCTCAGTCAAGGCACTCTTGCGCCTCTGCTTGCCTTACAAATCCTGCCAACACTGCCATTCTTTGACGGGTAAAGCAGCACCTGGCAAAGATCTTCCATATAAACAGCCATGAAAGAGGCAGGAGCCCTGGCTTCCACCGAATCGGGCTGCTCTCCCTGCTGCCCACCAAACAAACTAACAAAAAAAGAACAGGAAAGAAAAGGAGGAGGAAAAGCAAGCAGCCATAGAACGTAAGGAGAATCCCAACACTGTTCCACATGGTCATTCCTCCCCAGGGAATGCCCACACAGCAAAAATAAAATAAAAATGATGACGTACACCCAGCACTTATGTCAATTCTTATCTGCAAAATACCTGTCATGCTGAGATTTTCTAATAGATGAAGCGGTCCTACAAGAGTGAGCGAAAGACAGAGAGACACAGGGCTAGGCAAGGAGGTTACCTAGGTCTGAGTTTGTGGTCCCTGGGGGTGGTGGTCTTTCCGGGGCAGTGGAAGTAGATGCTACTGATGAAGATGATGTGGCTGCCAAATGGAGGGCGGAGGTGCCAGGAGGGTGGCAGCGTTCAGTCCCTATAGTTTTCAGCAGGTCTAAGAGCACCTTCCGGTTGGCACCTTGCATGGTGAGGATGTCACATGGGTTAGAGAGAAAACGATCACATAAAGCAAACAGTCACCGTTGCCAGTGCAGAACCAACCCAGTCCCAGGTAGCTGCCGGCAGTCTGCAGAGGAAGGCGCCATGGCTGGAGATGCTTGTCTGAACAGGGCACTGCAGTTTAGCAACCTACTATGGCCTTGCGGGGGGGGGGTAATCCTCCACCCCTGCTTTATGACGGTTGCTTTGTGTGTCCCAACTTCCAGTTCTCATTGCCCTTTATTGGACAGGGCAAACGGGTATCCTCACGTGTGGGACTGCAAGGCCTGCCCGCAAATACATTCTTGCCACGCATAATCACCAGAGTCCAAGGGCCATGAGCCCTTTCCCACAGGCTTTGCCCTGACCCCGCACTTGCCGTTCCCCAGCCTCACGGCTGCCCTCTCACCTTTGCTTGTCCTGGCTGCCAGCAACCCCGGGGTCTCCCCAAAATCATTAGGGATCTCCACGTCTGCTCCAAACACTATCAGGGCCTTGATCATATACAGGTGGTCTTGCTAAGGAGAGGAAAAGACCTGGTCAAGGAACGGGAGGCATCAGTGCTCCCTCCTCCGCCCCCTTCTACAACCCGCCTCCCCCTCTTTTCTCTTGGCCATCCAGCAACTCGCGCCCCCCCCCCCACCCCAGACAGCTCAGGCCCAATAAGCCTCACTGGGTGGGAGAACAAATTTGGCTGGCCTGGGGGTGGGGGAGGAATCTGAAACAGAGTTCTGGAAAAATAAGGATTTCTTTCAGCAAGGTATTAAGTACCGCCTGGGACCCTGGAGTGCCACTGCTAGTCCGGGTAGAGAAGACTGACCCTGACCAACAAGAGAAGAAGAAGAAGAAGAGATTGGATTTATACCCCGCCCTTCACTCGGAGTCTCAGAGTGGCTTACAAACTCCTTTCCCTTCCCCTCCCCACAACAGACACCCTGTGAGGTAGGTGGGGCTGAGAGAGCTCTGACACAAACTGCTCTTTTTCAAGGACAGCTGTGCCAGAGCTTGTGACTGACCCAAGGTCACATCAGCAGGTGCAAGTGGAGGAGTGGGGAATCAAACCCGGTTCTCCCAGATTAGAGTCCGCGCACTTAACCACTACACCAAAGAGCTCAAGACACACTGTGGTATCAGTTTCCCCCTCTAGTAGCTGAGCGCATTACTCAGTATTACAGACGTGGGAGGGACTTTTTTCTAATAAAAATCTTTTAATTGGACCGACCAAGGATCTGATTCAGTACAAGGCAGCTCCATGTGTGTTCATGTGCAGGGGGACAAGCATTTAGGTAGGGAATACGACCCTTACACAGTATAAGTGGCTGGATCCAGCTCAAGGAACTTGCAAGGCCCACACGAGGATCCCCAGTGTCCCTCTCTCTCCCCTCCCCAGAGCAGCCATTTCCAGCACCAGGAAGGTCTATTCCTGGGATCACAGAACTGGTAGGGTAACAGCCATACACGAGATGGGAGGTTGCAGGGGTGGGGGGAAGGGAGGGGGTGAAATCCCTCCCTTCTGTCACCACCCTGTTCATGCAAAAGGCAGGGAAGGGCGATTTCACCCTTTCCCCACTGCAGCCTACCAACTCATGTGGCTATTCCTTCATGTGGGTCCCACAGCTATGGGAATAAACTTCCCCAGGATGGGAAACGGCTGCTGGCAGGTGAGGGGAAAGCCAGAAGACGGCCATCTGTGCTTTCTGCTGATGGATCTCAGGATCAAAAACCTAAAGGTTGTCTTCCACGAGCTCTTTGCCGTTTAGGAAAGGAAGGCCCCTGGCAGACTCTCGCGTCCTCGCAGTCCCAGGAAAGGGCCAACTGGGGAGAAGCCCACCTTCATCGCCAGGTGCAGGGGAGTGTTGCCATCCTTCCCTTTCATGTTGGTCCCAGCTCCGTGCGTCAGCAGCACCATTGCACAGTCAAAGCGCCCCCGCTGCACAGCAATGTGCAGGGCCGATTCCCCCGTCACGCTGAGAGTATTCACTTCACAGCCATACTCTATAAGTAGCTGGGCCATCTAGGTTCACAAGGAGAGAAGGGGAAGGAAGCAAGGTGCAATCAGGTCATGGGCAGGACCATGTTTGGGCCCCCAAGTGCTGCTCCTCAGTAAAGCATTTCACTAAGATAAATACGGTGCAGGAAACTCATCTCCAATAATGAAGCAATACAGTAGGAACAGCAGTAGAAAAGTCAAGATTGTGGCGCCGGTGGCAGCACCCAGATGACAAAGATTCACAGATATTAAGTCCTCCAATTGCTCTGTTGGATTAAAAAGTATTTGATGCCTTTTAAGAACCTGAAGAACCCTGATGAGCCTCATCTGAGAGTTTTGCAGAACAGGCACCACCACCAAAAAAGTCCTGCATCTTATTAATTCACCAGCCTAGCCTGAGAAGCTGATAATCCCAGTAAGCATGGGGAGGTCCACAGGGAGGGAGGTATCCCCCCAAATAGCTATGAGTTGTTGCTTCTAGGAAGTAAAAGAAAGGCCATAGGCCACCTCTGAAACTTTACAAGAGTCATAGAACCAGCCCCAATGGCCTGGGCACAGTTATCTGAGCCTTGAGTAGAATGCTATAAGAACATACCTATGACTCATAGACTCTGGTCCACAGCTAACCCCATGGCTAATTTCTGGTGAGCCAGCTACCACCTGTTATCTGCCAGGAATCTTGCAAAGAATGATGGATTAAGTAGACCTTTAACTGATCCAACAGAACACAAATGTTCTTAAGTAAAAGTCCCTGCTCTGGATCACTTTACTATTTTGCCTTAAGTGTGCATTCTTGACCTGCAAATTCAAGTACACATCCGTGGACCATGGAGATTCAATTTAAAAAAGAAATCACACAAGACAACCCAGTTCTGATTTCCATGCTCAGGACTGCCAATTGTGCTCCAGGAGAGGGAATCCTGCACCTTTTCAAGAGTTGCACCGCAGAAAGAAATTCAGCAGGTGCAGCTTCTCCGATTCCTGCCTCATAGGGGGCAGTTAAAAATACATCCTAGGGGAATAGTTTAAAAGTCACAAGAGATGGCAACACCGTCGACAAAGAAAAGCACTGGAGATGGGAAGGATTTCTATCGGGAGCCTTACTAGGGAAAGCAGGCCTTCCAAGGAACCAAGATGGCTACATATATGTTCCATCAGCAAAGCTGGCATTCTTGATACACACCTCAGCATTCTTGGCCCAGTGGAGGGGTGTTGCTCCATGCTGGTGGTCCTTGTATTGAACCTGGCTGACGTCCACATCAAGGAGGGCCTTGGCGCATCTAGAAGGAAAAGAACAAGCAGCAGGTGCGCAGGTCAATGACTCCTAGGAAAATAGGTCTGAGTTTGCAGGCTGACACTCCTATGATACAGTCCAAGAGCCCTGTAAAATTAACTTTTAGATCTGCTGTATTAACTGGTTATGTGGTTTCCCCTTCCCTGGCCCACCCATATCTCCAAAGCCAGAAGGAGATGAAGGTCTGCAAACAGGGCTCAGCACCAGCCGTTCAAAGGCAGTGCTGCAGGCAACACCTGGGACAGGGAAGCATTAGCTGCCTGAGGGGCAATTAATAATCCCTCTGCATTTACATTAATACTCTCCTGATGAAGCTAACATTGAAACACATAGGGATTATTAATTTAATAAACATCTGCTCTCTTTTATGGCACCATTGCCTTTTTGCCTAATTTTTTTCTTGTTGACTGGTGCAACCCTTTTGTTTCTCTCTTCAACTATGCTCTTGGCCTGCGCTGATGAACTCAATGAAAACTACGGGTGGGGGGGATGGGTTCTTGATGGGCTAGTCCATGTTGGAAGAAATGCCTTTCTAGCACACTGATCCCAGCAAAGAAATCAACCTTACCTCTTCTGGGAGTACTTCATGGCAGTGTGGATGGGGAAGCCCATCGTTCCCAAGGTACTGCTCTTGGCTTCGACCTTCAAAAGTGAAATGACAGCTTCATCTTTGCCCAACTGACAGGCTAAGTGCAAAGGGGTTTGACCTTGGTTGTTCAGATGGTCCAAAGCAGCAGTTGACTGTCTGCCCAGCAGCTGGAACAAATGGATCACATTAGTGGCTCTGAAAGAAGCACAACACAGCTCGACTTTGTTCTTCCCATTGTAGGGGCAAATCCAAAACTTCCCTTCCACGTTCCATTGATACAAGGGAATGCACCTCTATGTTACTACTGTCTGAAAGCTTGTTGTAACACAACAGGGAAAGGACATATCCAAGAAAGAGACAAGTATGTCCAAATCATATTTCCTTTTCATTTTACATGTACGTGATTCCAAATACACAATGTTTACAGGAGGGAAATACAGGGAAAGTTACCCATTTTCAAAATATTTATCTGCCCTTCTCTCCCCATTTAATAATCCAACATAACTGGTTCACTTTGCCATTTCAGCTCCCCCTCAGGTTTTCTAACAGAATGGGGTTGGACTAGATGACCTGGGAGGTCTCGTCCAACTCTATGATTCTATGATCACTTCTGGGTGCTTTGTTATTCGGCCACTTGGCAACTCTGCACATTCTTGTGGCACATAAGAGGTCTGTAACTCATTCCAGATCACATGTTTTGATCCCACTTGGAAAAAAGAAACAAACAATCAGCTCCCATGATCATTCACATCCTAAAACTTATCAGTGTTTTCCAATCATGGAGGAGCCCTCTTGCATACATACATAGAGTCTGCTGACTCCTTTTTGCATCTTCAGAGTTTTGCATGGTCTAGATTACAGGGTTTTGGGGTTATTTTATATGATGTTAGGAATAGAAAAAACAGAAACAAGTTCCATTTCAGAATTATGCACATCAGATGTCAAGGGAATATGACACCAAACCCATTTCCATGGACCTTTTGAGTGATCTGCAAGTCTTTCCTTCCATTTGAGCTGGTGTGGATGAATTGCCACAGAGCCCCCTTCATCACCTCCTACTTCAAGCTTAATAGAACACTCTTGTCTTGGAAGGAAGGGCTTCTCAATAAGTGATCTGATCCCTATTTGGCTATATAATAAATAATAATCATATGTCTTACTTGGAAGTAAAGATAACTCTGTAAATTGCCTCTTTCACAGAAACTCAAGGGGGAAAACCCAAAAACTAAGGGGACCAATTTCCTTTCCCCCAGTTCCATCACCCCCAATCATTCACAGGCTGTCAGATGGGGGGGGGGGAGAGATCAGATTTAAAACTGCCTGGAGTTCATCTACAGGACAGAAGAAGAGTCCACTGCTCAATCCTCCGCTCCAATTAGCATTATAAGGCAAATATGAGGTTTGGAATTGGAGATACGTCCTGTAATGCCTTCGACAGTCCCCCATTATCTACACATCTGGAGAACGGCCTTTTTTTGGCACCCACATTTGGAAAGTCCTGTACTCATTTCCTCTGCTAATGTACCATGGCATGATACCCTCTGCCTTTGTCCTTGTAGGGAGAAAGTTACCTTCTTTCCAATACCTTACCTCTACAATCTTGGGGTTATTCCCTCGGACAGCATAGTGGAAGACAGTATCACCATTTCCGTCTGTGAGGTCCACTCGGGCGTGGCATTCCTCCACCAGCTCCCGCAGACAGTTGATGTCTCCTTTCCGACAGGCTAAGTGCAAGGGAGTGCAGCCGTCCTCACCATCATTGCTGTTTATGCAGCTGCAACGCAAGATGAGTGAATACCAGGGACAGGGACAGGCCTGAGTGCAAAACCAACAAAATCTCATACATCCCCCCCCCGCTTTGTGTTTCAAAAGCTCACTGCTGTGATTTATTACAAAGATTCAAAAGTGTAAATAACATCTTCACGGATTCATACTAGGAGAACTTCTCCTTGGTATCAGCTAGAGAAAGACAGCCATCTTCATTACCTCTTGTGGTATTTTAAAACTCCCCAATCATATATAAAGAAACAGACGGAATATATGATTTACGATAATTTGTTTTGTTACTGGAGTGTTGGAAGTATGGGTTAAGTGTAAAAATTACATTAAACTCTTTTCTGTCCCCACTAACATATTTTAATTTATAACTCTAAATTTAGCCCGGGTCGATTCAAGTATTGTCAGAATGAAGGAAATACAACAGAATGGGCATTGTATAACATTTTCAGAGTTGCGATACTAAATCACAACAACTGGGTTATTTTTGTTTGTCTTTTTCATTTACTTCATCTTTCATTTACTTAATCTTTCCCTTAAAATGGGGACCCAAAGAGGCATACATAATTATCCTCTCAACAACCCTGTGAGGTAGGCTAGGCTGAGAGAGAGTGACTGGACTAAGTGGCACACGTGGAGATTCAAACCTGGGTCTTCCAGGTACTGGTTCAAACACACCTAACCACTACACCACACTGAACATGTTACAGTGCATAAGTATTCCTTTACTCTCCACCTTGTGAAATCTGGGGAAGCCAAAGAGAGGCTGTTCGCCACAGGCAATGTGAGCAGATGTCCACTGAATGTTTTCATATGGCCATGCCCGACTGTACAAAAATGTGGGGAAAATGTTTAACCCAAAAATCAGTTGTGTCTTCACCTCACCTAGAGAAGCCTAGAGTTATTTTTTAGGCCTCATTTTTGTTTTGTTTTTTGAAATAAAGGAGCAGCTAAGTATGGTTTTAGATTTTATTTTATTGGCATCTAAAATGGCTAGGAATTGTGAATGTGCAGTAATATAAATATTAAAAATCAACAAAATTGGGCAAATGGCCAAATTTTTAGAGATGAAGCAAAATCATACATTCCAATGGAAGACAAACTAAAGCCTTTGTCTTTGACAGACTAGAAACATTTTCTTGGGATTTCTGGCAGCAGACCCTGAAATTGTATTTAAACGTGCTCAGCCTTTCTGCCAGAGGGGTGGCCATGTTAGTCTACTGCAGCAAAACAAAACAGAAGTCTGGAGGCACCTGAAAGACTAACATTTGTTATGCTGTTTTAAAATGCGATCTGACCTAATAATTTCCTATGCATGTAATTTGGAAGTGTCAAGTCCCTCCCCCATTTATATTTGTACAAGTGTTTCTATTAGGGTTGCCAAGTCCGTCCTCGTTGCAGAGCGGGGGACTCCCGGGTTGATCCCGGGTTGATCCCGGGGCCACGACCATCCGAGGGGAAAACATAGAGTTTTCCCTCGGATGACTGTGGCCCCACCCCCAGCGTGCCGGGCGTGGTCACGTCACTTCCTGGTGACGTGCACGTCATGGTGGAGTTCCCCCCGGGACCCAATCCAGCGGCGGCAGGGAACGGGTCTCTGGGGCGGGGGTTTCCCCGCCCCCCGGGGGGACTTGGCAAGCCTAGTTTCTATAAACTTCTGTTGAAAAAAAGCTCAGTGTGTAATATACCCTAAATCCTCTACCACCACTGTATCCACCGAACATTCTTATTATGCGGTCCACGCATAGAATATTTAAATGACATGGTCACTGCCTAGAAGATTTATGATAATTTGCCCAGGGCCTCCCAGTGGGATTAACTGCTGAGCAAGGTCTTCAGCCTGGATTTCCAAACCTAACACTCTAGAACCAGTTTGGTGTAGAGGTTAAGTGCGTGGACTCTAATCTGGGAAACCCGGGTTTGATTCCCCACTCCTCCACTTGCACCTGTTGGATGACCTTGGGCATGCCATAGTTCTGGCACAGCTGTTCTTGAAAGAGAGCAGTTTCTGTCAGAACTCTCTCAGCCCCACCTAACTCACAGGGTGTCTGTTGTGGGGAGGGGAAGGGAAAGGAGTTTGTAAGCCACTCTGAGACTCCTTTGGGTAGTGAAGGGCGGGGCATAAATCCAATCTCCTCCTCCTCCTAAACAGCTGGAATACAGATCCAGACTCCAATGTATTTTGCTCCTAAGCCAACTGCCTGCCATTCTCATTAGGAGACACTCCAGGCGCCATACCTCAAGATACGATTGTGCCGGAAGCTCTCCAAGAGTCCGACTTCGACTGCTATATGAGCCAGTGACCAGGTGGGGTGGCTGCGAAAACAATCTGTCAGTTGCTGCAAGGTCTCCAGTGGCAAAGGTTCTCGATAGCTCTCATAGAATGGGCGTAACTGTTTCACATACAGGTCAAAATGTTGGATCGCATCCACCTCGTTATCTACCTGGAAAAGCCTGTGGAAGAAATTGTACTAGTTTCAAACATTTATACTCTACCTTCACAACATTTGAGATAACTAATATAAAAAATGCACACAATGAAACCAGAGAAGCAAAAATTAGAACTCAAATAAAATACAAGCTCTCACAACAAAACAACTAAACCCACAAAACTTAGCTGCATGACCACTATAGTGACTAAAACTCTGCTGGACAGGCAAGTTTCATCATCCTCTCTGGAAGGCTAAAAAAAAGAAGCAATCTCCTAACCTCATTAAGGAGATTTTTCTATAACCCTGGGCCTACTGCAGGAAAGGCCTTGCTCCTCACTGTGGATAACATCTCTCCATACAATGTAGGCACAAAGAACAGGGCAGGATACAAGCACATCTGACATTGATACAGGAGGAAAGTAGTATGTGGATTCCCAGGGCATGAAACATTTAAGCACTTTCAAGCTGAACCCAGAGCTAACTGGCAACCAGTGCAATTGCTGCAAAATAGGCTACAATCCAGCCTCCCTGCATTCAACAGCAGAAAAGAAGCAGCATTCTCCACTGGTCTGAACGTATAAGTAATCTTCAAGGGCAGCCCCACAAAAAAGTGCCTTACAGCAGACAATCCTAGATAGAAAGATGAAACAGAGTACAGACTGTCCATGTTCTTATTCTCTGATGTGTACCGTTCTGAGCCCAGCCCTGTGTAGTCAGGGGAGAGCAGTTTATAAATTCAAATTATAAATAAATAAATAAATAAATAAATAAAAGTACCCCTTCAGGAATAAAGGAGATTACTGTTATGCTCTTGAATTCCTACGTATGCCCCTTCATGACTCCAGAACCCACCTATATAGTCATGTTCTCCTCCCCAAAGGAGAATTTGCACTATGATCTTTGGGCAAGGGAGTCTCCACCTCCAAAAGTGAAGAGCTCGAACACTCACCGGAAGGCAGCCACTTGATTCTGTGGGTTAATGAAAAGGCAGTCCCAGGAGTGAGCTGAACTCTTGTCATACAGAATTATCCTGTCTTCCCATTTCAGACGGGTTCGATTTGCATACTCCGCCAAGGGTACTTCCTTCACTCGATAAGGGTTTGAAAACAAGTGAGTGACATTGCCAAAGGTGTTCATAAGTCGACCAAAGAACTGCATGTCTCTAAAAATACCCTTTATTCTTTCAACCCTGCAGAAAAGACATAAGAATTCCTAGTCAAATCATGCCACGGAATGTCATTTACGCATCTGTTCAGCATCTCCCTTCTCATTCCCCCATCCTCTCCTTCACTCAGTACCAAACACACATTAAGATGCTAATGGAACATACACTGAAAGATGATCTCGAGACTCTCAGCAAAGCTGCTTCCCACCCCCCACACCCACTTTTCTAAGTAAAATTATATGAGGAGACAAGACTGTGAAGAGGCTGGCCCTCTTAACTTTTGCCATTTGAAGGTTGTCATCAAATATGAGCTTCCTACAAAAGGATAACCTTCATATTGGGGGGAAACCCACATATATACAGAAGTCACACATAAACCACCAAGAGGTGAAGATATATCTAGGGTTGCCAACCTCCAGGGGGTGGCTGGAAATCTCCCACTATCACAACTGATCTCTAGGCGACAGAGATCAGTTCACCTGGAGAAAATAACTGCTTGGGAAGGTGGACTCCATGGCATTATACCTCACTGAATTCCCCCCTTTTCACAAACCCCAACCTCCTCTGGCTCCACCCTCCAAATCTCCAGGTGTTTCCTAACTCGGAGCTGGCAAGCCTTGATATATCTAATCATGGGTTGTTTCGTAGAAAAAGAGCTAGGGGAACTCATTAGCATAACTCATTAGTACCCCAACAGTCCTGGCCGCAGCCGCCGACCTTGCAGCTCCACTGCTGAGCCCCATGAGGGGCCGGGCGGTGGACCTGCAAGGCCGGCGGGAGTGCAAGGAAGCCCCGTGAAGGCCCTCCCTGGCCCCAGGCAGGCAGGGGTGGGGAGAGGCAAGGAGGAAGTAACTTACCCTCCCTCTTCTTCTGCCTCCTCCTGGCTGAATGAGGGTCGGAAGCGGGGCGGCCGAAAGCAGGGGGCGGGGCTTCGTCATGTGCCCCGCCCCCGTACCTCACCCAGGGGAACTGCGATCCCCCGCAATCCCCCCGAAATGACCTCTGTATCTAATGTTATTTTTATTTATTTAAAATATTTCTGTGCTGCCTTTCCACACATTGCATGGTCCGTAAGGTGATGAACATTAAAACATTTCAGGCATTCAAACATTAAATTATTTCAGCCATTTTTAAAAATATATTTATTTATCAATTTTCCACTTAATTATCCTTTACAAGTAAACATCATTCTATACATTCAGTCTAAAGTTTCCATATTTTGTTAATCCAATTATACAGACTTTTCCATCTTTCAGTAAATACATTTTCGTCTTTCCCTTGAAGCATTAAACATAATTTGTCCATTTCCGCTACCTCCATCAATTTACACAGTATTTCCTCTCTTGTGGGGAATTTATCTTGTTTCCAGTATCTGGCAAATAGTATCCTTGCGGTTGTTAATATATATGCTAACAAATATTTCTCATTTTGTTTATAATCCTCTGGTATCATATTCAATAATGCTATTTCAGGAGTTAGGACCAAGTTAATAGTCATAATATCTGAAATCGTCTTCTGTATCATTTCCCAATACATCTCTGTTCTCGCACACCGCCACCACATGTGGTAAAACGTCCCTACATTTCTTTTACACTTCCAACACAAGTTAGATACTGTTGGGTGGCATTTAGCTATCTTGTCGGGAGACCAGTACCAATGATGAAAGACTTTATAGGTATTTTCTTTATACTTATATTCTCTCATATATTTCAGTGTTTTCCAAGTATTTGCCCAATGTTCTATCGTATGACCTATATCTTGGATCCATGCTATCATCGTTGAAGTAACCCTTTCATCTAATAAATATTCTTCTAATAAGAATCTATATATTTTCTGAATCATTTCGTCACTTGTTGACAGCCATATCTATATATCTAATAGTCAAGTGGCCCTGTGAGTGCGGATCACTAAATCAGCGCTCCGGGGCCACCTGGGGGGCAGGGGGAGGTTTGTGCACACGTGGGCCAGTCCCCACGTGTGCACAAAAATACTAAAAGTTGAAAAAAAATTCGGGGGGATGTTTAAATCCCCCCGAAAGTGCAAGAGCGTCTCCTGCGCGTGCGCTCTGGAACGTTGCCGCCGGAGCCAGGGGGTGTGGAGAGAGAGAGTGCGAGGTGCCTCGGAGACTGGGGGGGGGAGAGAGCCGGAAAGAGACGGAGCCGAGGCCCGCGCGGCCCTTGGGTCGGAGCCGGTGGGGGGGAGGGCAAAAGAGAGAGAGAGTGGGGGGGCGGAAATAGAGTGAGAGAGAGACGGAGAGAAAGAGAGTGGCGAGAGGGGAGGCGAAAGAGAGAGAGAGTGGCGAGAGTGGGGGGTGGAAAGAAAGAGAGAGACGGGGAGAGAGAGAGAGAGTACCTGCTCCTTCCTTCGGGGCTGGGGGGGAAGGGAGAGACAGAAGCCAGCGGGCGGGGAAGGACCGGGCTCGCCACCGCCCCCTCCTCATCGGAGCCGGCAGGCAGGGTGGGCGGGCGGGCGGGGAAGACCGGCCTTAGCGCCGGGCGGGCGGGGGGGAGGAGGACCGGCCTTGCCACCGCCGAGCCCGGCAAAGGAGGGGGGGAAAGGACTGGCCTCTCCGCCACCGCCTTGGAGCCGGGCGGGGGGAGGACCGGCCTCGCCGCCGCTGCCGCCTCCTCGGGACAACGAGCGGGGGGGGGTGGAGGAGACGGAGCTCTTCTCTCCCCCCCCCGCGAGTATCGCGGGTCCCCGTCTTGTCTTATCTAATTGTGTTTTAGTATCTTGAAATCCTACTATGACATCCTTTGCGTACCTAGATTTAAGTTGCATGTTTTCCCACCAAGTTAATTTTATCTTTATCTTAGTTTTAATAAAGTTTCTTCTGACTTCAATTTATTATAATCTAATAATTTTGATAACTTTATCACAGGGTTTTATAAGGGAGGGTTTTATGTAAGCTTCTAAAGGCTACCCATTTTGGAGTTTTCGGGTAATATTTTTCTTTAACATCATTCCACGTCCATAATAGGGCTCCTCTTATCATGTGTTGTCTAAAATTTGAATGTATCTTATCTTTTCCATACCATATATAGGCATGCCAGCCCATACTTAGGTTGTGCCCTTTTAAATTTAGCATTCTAGTGTTATCTAAGATTATCCAATCTCTTATCCAATTTAATGCTGCCGCTTGACAGTATAACCTCCAATTAGATAATCCAAATCCTCCTCTCTCTTTTCTCTCTTGAAGTATTTTCCATTTAATTCTTGCCCGTCTTGGATACCAAATAATATTTTTTTAAATCTCTTTATCCATTTCCACAAAAACTTTGGCATTTTTCAGTATGGGTATATTTTGGGCAAGAAACAAGAATTTCGGCAGTATCATCATTTTTATGGTAGCTATTCTACCTATTAAAGATAGTTGTAAATCCTTCCATTTTGTTAAGTATTTCTTAATCCCTTCCAACAGTTTATGATAGTTATCTTCAAGAAGCGTACTATTCCTATTAGGTAATATTATTCCTATTTAATTTTTTTCACTATCTCCACATTTGTTGCTTTGTGTAATTCATTGATTATTTTTGGTGTACAATTTTTTGTTATTATTTTTGTTTTTTTCAAGTTGATTTTTAGCCCTGCCTTTTCTCCAAATTCCTGTATAGTAGTTAATAAATGCTGGCTTGATATTATCGGATTTTCCATTATAAATACAACATCATCCGCAAAAGCTAGTAATTTAAATTCTTCTCCCTTTATTTTGAGTCCTTGTATTCTTTTATCTTCTCTTCACTATTTAGTGTTTCTAATGCGAATATAAATAGTAAAGGTGAAAGAGGGCATCCTTGACGTGTTCCTTTCTGTATCTCTATTTTTGAGGACATGTCAACATTTATGAGCACATTGGCATATTGTGTGTTATATATTGCTCAGATCATTGTTGAAAAAAGTGTTCCACAGTTCCAGCTATTCAGCTTTTGAAGTAGAAATTCCCAAGATAAGTTATCAAAAGCCTTCTCTGCGTCCATAAACATCAAGGCCATTTGTTTTTCTAGGTGCTGTTCATAATACTCTATGACAGGGGTCATTTCCTAGAAAAAGAGCTAGGGGTACTCATTAGCATAACTCATTAGCATATGCCACACCCCCTGACATCACCGGAAGTGTGTCATAAGGCCACACCCCCTGACATCACCAGAAGTGTGTCATTAGGCCACACCCCCTGACATCACCGGAAGTGTGTCATGAGGTCACACCCCCTGACATCACCGAAAGTGTGTCATGAGGCCACACCCACCACTCAGTTAGTCTTAGTTTTAAAGGTGCTAACTTCCACCCCCCGCACTTTCCATGCTCTTCATTATTAGGTCTTGGTCAGAGGGTATTGTTGGAAGTTTCAAAAAGTTGCATATAAGATTTTAGCTGCTGTTACCACCAGTGTTCCCTCTAAGCTGAGTTAGTGTGAGCTAGCTCACAGTTTTTTAGCCTCCGGCTCACACACGTTTGTCTTAGCTCAGGAAGGAGGGCTCCAGAGCACACTAATTTATGCAGTAGCCAAATCGCTCGCTCACAACTTTAATGCCAATAGCTTTCAAAGTAGAATTTTTGCTCACAGGACTCCACAGCTTAGAGGGAACATTGGTTACCACATGAATTTTGTTCGTCCTTAAGGACTCTTGTCTCTTCTACTGCTACAGACAGACTAACAGGACTACCCACCTTGATCTATCTCCAAGGAAAGTACCATATTTAGCAGAATGGAAATCCATCAACCTTGTGGTATCTGAGGAAGTGAGCAGTGACTCACAAAAGCTCATGTCCTGCCACAAATTTTGTTAAGTCTTCAAGATGCTCCTGGGCTCTTGTTCTTTTCTCCTGCTACAGACAAAAACGGCTTCACCCCCCCCTCATTTACCCACCCACCCACCTCTCCATCACCCCCCTTTATTGTTGCCTGCATTTGACAGTCACATCTCCACCACTCCAACAGTGGCTTTGATCACTGGAACACTTTGGACGAGAGAAGAAAAAAAAGACACACACCCAAAGAGCCCCTCTCTATTTCCAC